GGGGGGGGAGCAGCATGGGGAGGTGAGTGGTCAAGGCTGTGTCCTAGGCAGCAGTGCGCCCTAGGCGGCTGCCTAGTTTGCCTAGTTCAGCACCGGCCCTGACTAGAACCACTATTATGTAATACAGCATGAGCACATATCATCTGCATACCCCCTGTAGTCATGGCCAGCAATATAATCTCACATTTTGTAAGATGGAATTCATATTCATACTGCGGAACATTGCATAGATACACATAAGTACACAAACAAGGGATTATACTACACAAATGCTCAATGGCGTCCAAAATTGGCATGTTTACTCTATAATGGTGTTTGCGAAACTTTCATCCCCTGCAGAGACTAATACAAATCTTACAGAAGACATACAACGCAGTAGTTGCCGACTTACAGAAGTTTCTCCAGCTCTTTTCTGAGGAGTTTCCTTTCCATATGTGTTTCAGAGCACATACCCTGCAATAAAGTCAGCAATGGTGTCAGTGGTAATATAGTTTAAGGGAAATGGTTAGAGTGGGTCTTGCTGTAAAGCACATTTCCCTTACCTTATGTCAGTAACAGTCCCAATAAGGACACACTGAGGCCACTGAAAACCTGACTGAGGTTCTACCTTTTTTACTATTTAAAGAAAAACTCCAGGCAAAAACTCGTATTAACCCTTGCAGTGAAGTTACCCCGCACTGCAAGGGTTAACTGATCCTTTCCGTCTAGGTGCTAAAATATAAAAAGTTATACTCACCTGATCCTCCACGCCAGCTTGTTCTTAGAGTGCTCCCTCCAGCCTCTTTCTTCCTACGCTGCAGCGATGGTATGTTCCTCAGTGTCCTCACGCCCTATACACTGTGAATAGAACATGATGACTTGAAGATCCTTAGACGGCTGCAGTGGAGGGGAAGCAAGGCTGGAAGGACCATTCCATCAGCAAGTCGGTTTCGAGGATTGGGTGAGCATAACTTATTTTAGAACCTGAACAAAAATGAGCAGTTAACCCTTGCAGTGCAGGGGGTACCCCCACTGCAAGGGTTAATAAGAGTTATGCCCAGAGTTCTTCTTTAAATGAAGACTGCACATTAAAATCACCCTGCCAATTTGCCAATACATAGTAAAGTAACAGGTTTAGTTTTTTTTGCTCATCTACTCTGCTACTACTTCAAAAATCCCAAGCCCCCCAGGTGGACAGGAACAGAGTTGGGAATTATGGCAGGGAGATCATACTTTTGGAATAGCTAAGAAATATAAAGCCAGGGACTCATCCAATCCACTTAAATCGGAAGTATCGTGAGCTGAAAAAAAAGTCCCCAGGAGCTTTTAGCCATAATGTGCACAGCATATTATCATATTATGGCAGACTTACCTGACAAAGTGATCCCCTTCACTGCTGTGTTCCTCCCCCTCTGGCACTTCCCTCTATGTCCTATGACTATGTCCTATGACTATCAAGTCAGCCACTTGACTGGCCATGCCCCAATGACATTTTCCCGTGAATTTGCACAGGAGTTTTTTGAGTCTATGCACTGAGATGGGCAGGAAAAAAATAGAAGCGATTATGGCAGAAGGGACTAAGGCTGGCCATAAACCTGTCAATTTGTTTAGTAATGCACGGTGCTGCAATAGCTTGTGTTGAGTTGCCTTGCGGTGAAAAAAGTAATCCATGCACTACTTTTTTTAACCGCATGGCAAAGCCACCCATGCTATTGCAGTGCTATGTGTTTAAGTGCAACGCAAGTCCGCCAGGAGGTGCGTTGGGGTGCTATTTAAAATGAATGGCAACGCACCAACTCACTTAGCACGTGGACCATTGCGGTGTGTGATAGTGCATGCTAAACGCATGGATGCATGAGGCCTAACACAGTTATCTCCTTTCGATTATCTTTCTTCTTGTCCTGCAGCAGCCTTGCATGGCTGCCTTACATTTGTAGAATGCAGGTTTCAGTATAAAGCATACAGAAAAAAGGGAGACAAATAAATCAAAAGAAGCCAACAATACATGGTCAAAGGTACAAATACACACACCTACAAATACACACAGCTGTACATACACACATATATTTACAAATCCAGTGCATTCAGCATCATTGGTGAGGCACACTATTAATGGTGACATTGTGAGATTTCCTTACCTGGTTACAAGAACCAGTTTCCCTGTTCTTCCTGTGTGGCTTACTGAAGGAGCAGCAGATAATGGTTTGCATAAAGCTTGCTGGGTTGTTTTTTTCCCCGTCTTATGTTGCTATGAAACCACAGAGCGCAATGCACAAAACACATGAGCTGTCTGTGAGCTGTAAGGCCTGCATTAAATTACCTGCTTTATATATTCTCATATTAGGTTTCTTCAGCCAAAGGGAAACCTGAGAGTGCATCGTTTATGCATACAATAGGCAGAGCTGCTTACGGTTACTGTAAGTGTAAACTTTATTGGACATGCGTCATCAGCAGGTTTCTTCTGGAGGAAAGGAATAACTATGGAAGCCTTTTTCAGATTGGGACTCAAGGCAGATTTAAAAAACGAGACGATGCAATGCTGCAAGAAGAGAGAAAGTTTGATATTGTAATTTATTACAGATTCATATATACAGTATATACGAGGTGTGACAATTTAAATTCCGGAATGCCCCGTGTCATAGCACTATGGTGGTGAGTCACACAGCCATTTGCACTCACCTGGGTGGCAGATCAGTTGACTTAGTCCTTACGGAGTAGTAGAAGAAATAACACGTGTATGTGTGTTGGTGGGAAATGAGTGACAGGAATCTGGAACAGCAGATTAACATCAAATTTAGCATGAAAATTGGCAAAAGTGCAAGTGAAATTTAAAGTGACATTAAAGTAAAAAAAAATTTCCCTCCCGCCCCCAATGTTAATGTTAGTACTTACCTTAAATGATGTCTCTTATTCCGATCTTCTTCTTTCCTGATATTTTCATCTGTCCCTCCAGCAGTGCGGTGGCTCTCCGATCCAGCGCTGACTGCTGTCTCTCCGATCCAGCGGTGTCTGCATGCGGGTGTACGCGTCCATAGACTTACCTTGCGTCTCTGCTCGTCTCCCGGCCGAGAATCAGAACTGTGCATGTACCCGCCCCAAGATCCTTTGCGGCCGTACGAGTTCCTGATTCTCGACGCGGGAGCGCGCAGCGATAACGAGGTAAGTTTAAACCTAGTTAAAGCGTTTCTTTTTTAAAAACTTCTTGCCTATATCTACAGCTTGCTAGCAGTAGATATAGGCAAAAAAAACGGAGGGTTTAGAAGCCCTTTAAGCTCTGTAACAACAGGTTTATGGTGCATATTCAATGAAGGAATCAAGTATTTTTGAATGGCATAGGCGGTTTAAGGAGGGGCGGGAAGATGTCCGCGAAGACCGGAACTCTGGTCTGACAAGTGGATTCTCCATCATGACAATGCTCCTGCATATGATGAGTTAAGTGTTCACGAGTTCCTGGCCCAGAAATTAATTCCAAAACTTGACCAACCACCCTATTCCCCTGACGTAGCACCCTGTGACTTTTAGCTGTTTCCAAAATTAAAAAATGCCTTTAAAGGACACAGATTTGATGACATTCTGGACATCCAGTGTGCCGCAACAAAGATACTGCGCAGCATTCCAGTAAAAGAATTCCAGGAAAGTTTCTGAGTTTCTGGCAGTGGCACAGTCGTCTACAAAAGTGCGTCGCTTCACATGGGGACTACTTTGAAAGTGACAACAGCCACCAGTAGTGAATAGGTAAGGAAACATATTTTATTTTTTTACAGTCCATTCCAGGAATTATACTGTCCTACCTCATATATATATATATATACACACACACTATATTGGCAAAAGTATTTGGATTCAGGTGTTCCGTGAAATTTCCTTGCTACTAAATATTCCACGGTCACCTGTTAGTGGTATTATAACAAAGTGGAAGCAACTGGGAACAACAGCAACTCAGCCACGAAGTGGTAGGCCACGTAAAATTAACAGAACGGGGTGGGGGTGTGTGTGTGTGTGTGTTAATCATATGACAACAAATCAGTTTCTAATTTACCTTCTAAGACCCAAGACTGCAAGCTAGTTCTGTTTTTTAGAGGTCTTACAGAGCCTATAGCAAGGGTATGCAAACTTGGCTATCCAGCTATGGTCAAACCACAAATCCCATCATGCATCTGCCTATGGGGGTAATGTCTGTGGCTGTCAGTCTTGCAATATCTCATGGGACTTGTAGTTCCACAACAGTATAGAGTGCCGAGTTTGCATACATTTTCTCTAGAGGACTGATCCTTTAAATGCCAGAGAGGGGCCCCTGAATAGCTATTCTCATCACCCATAGTGACCACACTGTGTATACTGTTGGACTAAGACCCCACACTGTGCTGGTGATGGTCGGACCATGAAACCCCTAAACAAACTTGTCCCCTTTCTTTCAATGACAGAAAGACCGCCTCCACATGACAGCCTTTCCCTCCCGCATTTGGACGCCCCTCCCAGGCAGCTTCATCTGTCAACTTTGCCCTAATTACCAGCTATTAGGTCCCGCCCACAGCACAGCCACGCTCAACACTAACAAACAGCGTAGTGACTGACAAGCTGCACAAAGCTCAGCCACGCCCGCCTGAGGTTTGTGGACGCCCACCTCACTTCGTAGCCTCGTCTATCTTTCAACTTTGCACTAATCACCAGCTATTAGGTCCCGCCCCCAGCACGACCAGTTTCTATCCAGCACCGTGACAGAAGAGCACAAGCCACGCCCGCTAGCGCTACGTAGCCGCCCACCTCCTCGCGTAGCTTCGGCTGTCAACTTTGCCCTAATTAACAGCTAATAAGCCCCATCTCCAGCACAACCACGCCCTGTCCTGCGAATCAGTACACTGCTGAGCCACGCCCACCGGCGCCGAGCTTAGCGTTAGAAGTCTTGGGGAAGGTTTGGTTCCATGTTGCGTGGTGAGATCCTACTGGTGGACTGTCTTCCTTATCCACCGGCCATAGGTTGGAGGTGGATCAGCTGGGAAGAGGGCGGGGCGAGGGGCGTACCCTGGGAAGTGGATTGTCTTGGAGATCACTCAGTGCCTTTGCCTGCAGCTCTGCGGTAATCAGGGGACTCAGCCATTGTACAGCCTTCCATTGCCAGGTAACAAAAGCCTTCCACGACCTGTCACTTCTATCCCTGACAGCTTCAATGTCTCCTGACATTGTACCCGATCACGATATATGTGTATTGTGACTAATATCACCCCGATCCTGCAGCCTAACCCTTCCATGACCACACAGAGCTGCTTTTTGCATGTTTTGCTTTAATACAACCAGTTATTGACATGCGACTCAAAGTTTTCTACAATGTTTTTATTTATTTATTTATAATTTATATATTGTGTTATGTGATATGCAAAAAAAATGTGAAATAATTGAGATCTGTTTTTGCATTTATATAGAAACAATTTAACATTGTTAAGCTGAGATGCGTCTTTCTGTAAATATGTTTTATGCTACGGGTGCAAGCCTCCATATCCATTCTATGCTGCGGGGTGCAATCCTCCATATCCATTCTATGTTGCGGGGTGCAATCCTCCATATCCATTCCATGTTGCGGGGTGCAATCCTCCATATCCTTACTATGCTGTGGGGTGCAATCCTCCATAGCCATTCCCTGTCTCCTCCAGTGTAAATCCTGCCTATCTGGGAGTGGCCGTTCCTTGCATTCAACAGTGGCTTCAAAAACTTGCCAAGTCATTCCATACCTGCATTCTCTGATCTGTGAAAGAAGTGTACTTGTATTAGTATAAAATGTTGGTGTTATTTTATTGTTAGATAATTTAGCAAATAATCCATATCTCTATAATGAATAATGCTAAAAAAAAAAAAGCCTTAGGACGTAACTGAAAATTATGACTAAAGTAGCATGATATGAGTAAAGTATAGGTTGTCTATAGTCGCAGTATTGCTATCCAGTATTGATTTCTGACGATGGGGAGAATTTATCAAATCTGGAGCAGTTGCCCATAGCAACCTATCAGCTTCTCTCTCTTTGGTTTGGTAGGTTAAACCAGAACTCCAGGCAAAAGTGTTCTTAAAGCAGGACTATGGGCCAACCTTTTTTTTACATGGTTCTCTTCAGGGTCACGGGAGAACATATACTAATGTCCTCCGGTGACCAAAAACTCATTACATAGCGAGCTATTGCCCTATATGCTGAGAGCACAGAGCTAGGCCACAGCAAGGACGGATCCTGACAATACTGTCGAGATCCACCCCACTGGCTGATTGACAGCTGCCTTTGCCTCTATAGAGGCAGGGCCAGCTGTGCCCGCCCCCTCCCGTCTGTTCCTCCAACCAGCATTGGAGGATCGGAGAAGGCTGGGGGAATCCCTGCAGGGAGCGGTGACTGACAGGCAATGAACAAACAGATACTTCTAGATAATTGCCGGCTTTGTATTCTCTGCATACCTGATTTCTCTTTTCTTCCCCAGTCTTCTGACAGGGGCCATGCTAATTAAGGGCAGATTATCTCCCTTTACTTCCTGGAACTCAGGTACATGTGACTAGGACATGTGACCATGCACATCATCTCAGGGGAGGAAAAGGCCTTTCCCTGAGATCTCATGAGATTTCCAAGCAATGCTCTACTGATGTAACCTTCCCAGGATGCAACCCTTTGGAACATTACATCATTTGTGCCAAAGTGGGCCAGGAAGTAGATGAACTCTATTTGTAAGTAAATGAAAACCAAGTATGTTAAAATTGACATTAAAGGCAAAACAATGTTTCCCTCCCCCCCCCAATGTTAATGTCAGCACTTACCTTAAATGATGTCTCTTAATCCGATCTTCTTCTTTCCCTTTCCTGATGTTTTCATCTGTCCCTCCAGCGGTGCGTCGGCTCTCCGATCCAGCGCTGACTCCTCTATCCTTGCAGGGCTTCCGATCCCACGGTGTCTGCATTCGGGAGCACGCGTCCATAAACTTACCTTGCGTCTCTGCTTGTCTCCCGGCTGAAAATCCGAATTGCGCATGTGTCCGCCACAAGATGCTTTGCGGTCGCCCGAGCAGTTTCGGATTTTCGGACGGGAGCGTGCGGCGAAGACGGGGTAAGTTTAAACTGCTGTTAAGGCGTTTTAAAAAAAAAATTTGCATACATCTACTGTTTGCTAGCAGTAGATATATGCAAAAAAACCAAAAAAACGGAGGGTTTAGAAACCCT